ATGCTATCCCCATTAAGCTACCACTGACTTTCTTCACAGAATTAGAAAAAAACTACTTTAAACTTCATATGGAAATGAAAAAGATCCCACGTAGCCAAGACAATCCTAAGCAAAAAGAACAAAGCTAGAGGCATCATGATACCTGACTTCAAACTATACTACAAGGCTACAGTAACCAAAACAGCTTGGTACTGGTACCAAAACAGATATATAGACCAATGGAACAGAACAGAGGCCTCAGAAATAACACCACACATGTACAGCCATATGATCTCTGACAAACCTGACAAAAATAAGCAATGGGGAAAGGATTCCCTACTTAATAAATGGTGGTGGGATATCTGGCCAGCCATATGCAGAAAACTGAAACTGGACCTCTTACTTATACCATATACAAAAATTAACTCAAATTGCATTAAAGACTTAAAAGTAAGGCCTAAAACCATAAAAACACTAGAAGAAAACCTAGGCAATACCATTCAGGACATAGGCATGTGCAAAGACTTCATGACTAAAACACCAAAAGCAATGGCAACAAAAGCCAAAATTGACAAATGGGATCTAATTAAACTAAAGAGCTTCTGCACAGCAGAAGAAACTATCATCAGAGTGAACACACAACCTACAGAATGGGAGAAAAATTTTTGCAATCTATCCATCTGACAAAGGGCTAATATCCAGAATCTACAAATTTACAAGGAAAAAAAAACATAACTCCATCAAAAAGTGGGCAAAGGATATGAACAGACACTTTTCAAAGGAAGACATTTATGTGGCCAACGAACATATGAAGAAAAGCTCATCACTAGTCATCAGAGAAATGCAAATCAAAACCACAATGCGATACCATCTCATGCCAGTTAGAATGGCGATCATTAAAAAGTCAGGAAACAACAGATGCTGGACAGGATGTGGAGAAATAGGAATGCTTTTACACTGTTGGTGGGAGTGTAAATTAGTTCAACCATTGTGGAAGACAGTGTGGCGATTCCTCAAGGATCCAGAACCAGAAATACCATTTGACCAGCAATTCTATTACTGGGTATATACCCAAAGGATTATAACTTATTCTACTATAAAGACAAATGCACATGTATGTTTACTGCAACACTGTTCACAATAGCAAAGACATGGAACCAGCCCAAATGTCCATCAAAGATAGATTCGATAAAGAAAACGTGGCACACATACACCATGGAATACTATGCAGCCATAAAAAAGATGAGTTCATGTCCTTTGCAGGAACATGGATGAAGCTAAAAACCATCATTCTCAGCAAACTACACAAGAACTGAAAACCGAACACTGTGTCTTCTCACTCATAAGTGGGAGCTGAACAATGAGAACACATGGACAAAGGGAGAAGAACATCATAAACCGGGGCCTATCGGGGTGGGGGACTAGGGGAGGGATAGCATTAGGAGAAATACCTAATGTAGACGACAGGTTGATTGGTGCAGCAAACCAGCATGGCGCATGTATGCCTGTGAAACAAACCTGCACGTTCTACAGATGTACCCCGGAACTTAAAGTATAATAACAAAAAAAGAAAGTAGAAGCATAAGCAATGATTTTTACAAGCCAAATAATAGGTAACATTTATAAGCACATTTTTAGTTTAGGTGCTATAATTTATGCTAAGTGATTTCCATAAATTATCTCCTATTTTACAGATGAGAGACTGAGGTTTAGAGTAATTTACCCAAGATCATATAGCAGGGAGTGCAGCTGGAATTCCATAGCCCCCAAAGCACTCACAGCCCCACACTGGCTATATAGGCTCCAGGCTTCCTTCTCCAGAACCTACTAAATAGCCTTTTAAAAAAATAGAAATGTGGTATATACATACAAAGAGTATTACTTAGTCACTGAAAGGAACTAATTTTTGATACATTCTATAACATAGATAAATCTTGAAAACATTATGCTAAGTGGAGTAAGCCAGACACAAAAGAACAAATGTATAATTCCACTTATATAAAATATCTAAAATAAGCAAATTCATAGAAAAAGTAGAATATAGGTTACCAGGGGATGAGGGTATGGGGGCATGGAGAATTACTTTTTAATGGGTACAGAGTTTCTGTTGGAGTAATAAAATATTTTTTGAAAATAAATAGTGCTGATGGTTGTACAACATTGTGAATATAATTAATGCCAATGAATTGTACATTTAAAAATGGTTAAACTGTAAATTTTATATTATGTATATTTTACCACAATAAATATTTTTAAATCCCTTTTCTGCTTATTTAAAAAAAAAAAATGTCCATTACTGACTTGTCACACTACAAGAAGGGAGGGTATACATTTCTGGACCAGGAAAGCCACCATGCTTCATCATTCTAAGTACTGGCCCCAAAGCACTATATATGTCAGGTTAGCCATCTAATTGGGAACAGGCCACGTACTCTATTCATGTTGTGGCACCGATACGTAGAAGTGGGTGGGATGAAAACAGACACACACCCTCCTTTTGGGGAGTTACAGATCCCTTTAAGAAAAGCACAAATGCTCTCTCCTTGCTGAATATAATTTGGAGGTTTTATACACTTCCAGAAACCCTAAGATTCTCAGAGGCCCAAGGTTAAGAATATGTAATACAGGGAAACACTGATTTCCTTGGATTTCAGTTTCTTTAAGGATTAGACTTTTGATGATCTCAAAGGACCGTTTGGTCTCTAAAACTTAAAAATTATGATTTTGAAAGAACATTATATTAAGAAAATGTAGAAAAAGCAAGCTAGCTAGAACATGATGTTGGCAATGAAGCACAACAAAGGCAGTACACAGAGAATGTGAGTGTGGGATCTCAAAAGATCTGTAAAATGAGAAAAGTTTAGTAAAAAGTTAAAGGAGGTTTACTAAACTGATATGAAATAATTTTGGATTTCTTGAAATTAAGTCAAATTTCTAGATTTTTCCTTTGAAAAGATAAAGCAAAGTCCGTAACTTACAAATCATTCTAAGTCATTCTTTTTCTGTTTTATATAAAAGAAAAAATCTGAAAAAATCAAAGCTATAGCCACAAATAGTGTATTTTCCTATTATATTCACACACTATATTTTTAACCTTAACAAGCCTACTGGCTATAAATACTGTTGAAATGTCAAAATTTAAAAAGGTAAATGACAAAAACACCTTTAGTACCAATATACCAAAAACAAAAATCTCAGCATACTCTTACGAGCATTTTAATACACTAATACTGATATTGTGCCATTTCCCAAAGAGTGTGTTAGAAATAGGCCCTCAAGATTTCATGAAGAAGAGGGTTGTATAGGTGAGTTAAGATTGGCAAGTGCTGCTCCCTAGAGTTGCTGTGTTGTCCTCAGGTATATAAGCTGCAGAAGACTCTAAGCAGCCGGTAAAGACACATATTTAATTTTGTTTAATTAGTGCTTTGATACAAATTCCCATCTGTTTGAATCTATGAATCCTGGTCTCATTGAACACATTAACATTTCTCACACAGCAAACTATTAAAATTTGGCTGCACGTATTTTGGAAAGGCTGGCATTATATATAGAATATTGGGAGCACTACAATTTGATTTGATGGTACTTAACAGTGATTCACTGAATGAGAATATCTTGTGGACCTCTAAAGCAGTTGTTGGCTGATGGCTTTAAATATCAGCTATGTAAAAAAAATTAAAAGGTAGTCTCTGTGTTTCACATTTCGGTGAGTATGGAACAGTTTTTGCATTGGCAAGTCTTATGCAAGTCAGCTACTATGGAAGGAACACACTTTAATTAAACCTTGGGGGAAATCACTGTTTTGTTTCATCTTTCATTTTGGTCGAGCTTGGTGACAGGTTTTATATTAAAAGCTTCTCAGCTCTGGAATAATGGAATGTTCAGTTATTTTCCTCTAGACGCACTAAGTAATGTGTTTTAAAGTTATACTATGTAATGTCTAGCCCCTAAGAAATGTAGCATAGGCATGTATTTAAAAAAAGGTGTTTTGAAGTATATGTCAATTCAGACAATGATCCAATATGATGATTCCCAAATCATTATGTGTGGAACAAAAGACTCCCACCCCCTCTTTTTGTTACAATTTCCAGTGGAAAAAGTTAGTTACAATAAGAAAACATCACTGTATGGGCAAAGATTGGGAGAGAAGGGATATATGCATATACACACACATGCCTAAACAATAGGGGTATAAATCATTTCTTTTTTGAATATAGCACTATCACATCTTGAAAAGTCCAAAAAGCCTGTTGTTGAAATATACACCAGCAAACAGGGTAAAGATTAGCCAAGGGATCCTAGACAAACTAAATCGGTGATGGTAATGCCATCCTAACAGTAATCTATAAGAAAGAATAGTGGGAGTCAAACACCATGGTCAACTCGGGGACGGTCAGTGGTTAAAACGTTGCTGGAGTGTTAGCACGCGCAGTGGGAGCCTAAGAGCAATGCATGCAGAGTCGCGTGGCAGCCAGGGTTCTTAGAACTCTGAAAGAGTGCTTAATAAACTCTGGTAAGGCAACAATTATAGCCTATTAGTAAAAACATTTAATAATTCTTCATAATTCACCAGCTTCTAGTGGACCACCATAATTTATACCAAAATGAAAATCAGGATGTGCATGTCACTGCCTCTAAGAAAGGCCGTTTTGAATCAGTTTGTGGTCCCTTAGAAGGACTCTCTCAGCCCACTTGTAGGAATTGAACTGCATTTCCTTGAATTACAGATCTTGGATAGCACTTTGGATTAGTAATCATATGTTCAGGCTTTTGACCTCACATTACTGAACTGATGTTTAATCTGGAACATGACAGTGTCTTATATCTTGCAATAAAATAGGGATTATATTTGTTGTTCCTTCACTACAACACAGGAATAATATGAGAATTGATTAAATGACAGCAGTGAGATTTATCTGCTAAGAGAAAAGTAAACTCACTAGAATGTTCTTTTGTTAACATATGCAGAATTAATGCATAATGATGTCTAGAAAATAACCCTCATGTAGAAACACGATTACCGTGTGATGCAATCTTCTGCCTGCTTCTCATTGTTCATCTTGTGATACAGCACAGCAGCCACTGCCAGGGGGCCTGCATCCCCGCAGAGGAAGGTGATGGAACGCTTGGTTAAGCAGTTCAGACTTTGCTTGACATAGCCATGTGCTAACTGTAGGTAGGCAGGGTCCCCAAATACATCATAAAGATGTAAGTAAAGCACAGCAATACCTGAAAAACAAAAAGAAAGCAATGTAAAGATGAGGAAAGGCAGTTATTTTATTATTTTGGCATGGTGTCTACTCAGCAGTGATTCTTGATAACCTGTAGCAAATATATTAACGATCTGGAAGTTTGGGTGACTTTAATTCTAGGCTCAGCTCTATTAGTAAGCAACTCTACGAACCAGCATAAGCCAACTACTTGTCCTCAGTTTCCTCATTATGACAACTCTATTAAATAATAAGGTCTCTAAGGCTTTGGCCAATAAAGAGACACACAGCCTATTATTAATCTTTGTTGTACTCTGGTTATTGTGTTAATGTATTCTTCTTGATGGTGAAATGAAGTGTCATTAAACTAGGGTTCCAAATAAATGTAATCGATTCACTAATAATAAGAAATGGTTTGTCGTGAACTAAAGAAATTCAAAGACTAGTGAATGAAAACTTCAATTTCTCTTTACGTAAAAGTTTGGTTTGTGAGTGTGTGTGTTTTTTTTTTTTTTTTAGTGAAAAGGTAGTTAATGTAACCAAATCCCCTGCCCCAGTATCCTTCCAAGCAGGGATTATAAGAAAGTTATTTGATAGCTGAGAAAAAATATTCAACCCCTTGATTTTTTTCTCTGTCAAGGACCCACCTACTTTGGTAACTGTAATGTAAAAGCCACCAATGACTTTTGCCTTGGGCTTTACTCGATCAGTTTCTTACCCTCTTCTTGAAGCCTGAAATATGTAATAGAGGCACTGTCTGCATGTCCTGATTTCAAATGCCTGTCACAGTGGAAAGAGCCTTCCCTCCGAAACCAAATGGTCTCAGGGCAGACTCAAAGATGTGGAGTAGGAAGCCTGCCTGCCTGCAGCATTTCCAGAAACCCATTTTTTCCCTTAAAGTACATTTTCCATCTCATTTGCCATTTTTAGAAGACACAGAACCTCTGTTTAAATTTAAATTAATAGAGCCAATCTCTTCACAGATTTCAATGCAGTAAAAATGCTGTCTGCAAAATTACTTTCCACTGTACTGAGGACAATTTTAAATTTAGATAGTTTTCTCATTTTGCATGGGTAATCTCCAAAGCTTTGTGCTACAGACAATTCAATTTCACATGTATATTAAGGCCAAATTTTCATTTCCTGCCAAAGTTAATAACCTTGACTGCTCTTTCAAAGTGGCTTGGTGTTAGTAATCCCAGAAGCTGATGATCAGATGCACTAATGCTTAAGGTTTGTAGACAAGTGTACAGAACCTTGTGTGTAGGTAATAAAAAAAAAATCCCCTTTTCACAAATGGCTGATGTCAAGAGCTTCTTCTAAAATTAGGTCCTTAATAGGCTTCATCTCCATCCATATCACGCATCTGCAGGTGATCCATTTAAACTGTTACCCTTTCATTTTGCCCTACTATTCCCATTGCTGCCTGAACTCTCCTAATTAAGTTATGTAAGCACCAAAGCCAGATAATGACATGATGGAGATCTGAGAAAATAAAAAGTGATTAAATACAAGCCCAATGATTGTTTTCCTTTCAGACCTTTGTCTCTCATTAGCAACAATTCCTCTTGGCTTAACTATTTAACAAACAAAACCTATTAAGGCTTGCAATTGTAAGATTTGGTGTATTTCTCATGAAAAACAGGTAATCATTTCTCAAGTCTCACAAGAATACATTTGGATTAAAACTTTCTTTTTGATCGGCAAAGAATTATCTTTCTAGTTTCTGGGATTCCACAACCTCAAGTTCCAGTTCTCCCCTACCTCTTGTGGGCCTCTGGATCTGTGAATTTTGATAAGCAATCTTCTGCAGATGATAGTTTACTGTGTCTACATTCCCTGTCACAGAACATCCATAGAGGAAAAGGACTTTAAGTGGTGAGTGCTGCTGCCAATTAGAAAAAGTTTCCTGCACATGCTTATTATAAATCAACCCAGGTCAGGAAAATAAGACAAAATGCATTAAGTCACAGACATTTAATGCCTCATCAGTATTTTATGTAATAGAAAACAACAGAATGTGTCCTAATAACAGAAAAAAGGGGGGACTGCTTGTGGCCAAATGTCTTAAACCTGATCTTTATGATCCTCAACCCTTGACAATAACCATGCATATACCACCACCTCTGAATAAATACCAAAGACTCGGGGATGGTTGGCAAGGTGGGAAATAAAAACACAACTTCAGGGGCTTTGCAGGGAAAAATCACCCAGTCCTAATACATACTCGTGGGCCTGGCTTCAGTCAATGCCTTAAGAAATGCCTTCAAATGCAATGTTTATCAAAATATATATGTTCTTCATGGAAAAAATTATACAGCACTGAAAGACTTAATATGCAAAACACCAGTCCTCTGGTTCACTGTGTTCCTGCCTTCCAGAGGCAACCATTTTCAACAGTTTCAGCCATTTTCTCTAGTATCTCTCTCTCTATTTCTAACAATATGCTTATGTGCTATCTATTTTTCTATGTCAGACATTTCTGACTCATATTCTACTCTAGAAAATGAGGCGTTACCTCTTGTGATGGAGACTGCTAAGTGGTTTTCCAAATGTATCTCACCTTTCTCTCAACAATAATGCCCTGGATTTTAGCTGGGTATGTTCTTCTGGCTGCTAAGAACAATCTTCTTCATAGCTGGGTATGGCTATGTGGCGAAGTTCTGAACAACAGGATGCAGTGGGAGTAGTGGAGGCAACTTGGGAAAATGTTCTTAAAGGGAAGGCACTGGCCATTTATTTCCTTTTCTACTTTCTTCCTGGCTGGAATGCAGATGTGATGGGGCAGCTAGAGCAGCCATGGCCTAAGGACCGTGAGTTGGAAGCTCTGTGCTGAGGGTGGTAAAGTTTCAAAGATCAAAGCCACCTAGATCCTGGCAGACTGTGAAGCTGCCACACCAGTCCGTGGATTGCCTACTTACACAAGAGAAAAATAAACTTCAGTTTTGTTAAAGCCACTGTTATTTTAGATGTATTGTACTGCCACGTCCTGGTAACCCTAATCCTAGAAAAGACAGCTCTTCTCAAAGCTAGAGAGGCAGGCAGAAGCTAGATTACACAGGGTCTAGCAGGCCAGTTAGGATTTGGAGTTTCATTTGAAATGCACCCATTTTAAGCATGGGAAGAATATATTTAGATTTGTTAAAAGTTCACCATAACTGCACTGTGAGGTTTGCAAGGGAGTGTATGGAAGAGTGGATGCAGGAGGAGCAGTTAGGAGGATGCTTCAGGAGTAGGAGCGAGACACAGGGTGGGTGGTGTTAACACGGATGTTGTCAGAATGAACTGGGAAGATACCTGTCTAAAAAGTAAAATCAGCAGAACCTGGTGGGAGATGCGCAGAGGAGGAGACGTCAAAATGCCTCCTGATGAGTAACTTGAACAGCTAGATGGGCAATGGTGCCATCCACTGAGGTGGCAAACCCCTCTGTTGGAGAATCAGGTTTGGGAGGAAAGAGTACAGCTGTATCCATTAATAAATTCATCCCCAAATGATTCTATTCTCTGAAGGACACCTAATATAATGAGAAAAAACACTTCTACTGACTTCTAACATAACAGCCAAAATTGTTTGAGTTTTGACAAAGAATGAGGTAGGGAGTTTCATCTTTTTAGCATTTTCTTTCATCTTTTTAGCATTTTCTTTCATCTTTTTATCGCAGAATGTGCATCTACTTTAAAATGTGACAAAAGCCAATTTTAGCCAAGTGTATTCTTAGGCTTAAATTTGAATATCACATTACATTTCCTTCTGTGCTGTCTGCTAAGCAAAAAGTAGAATGGCGACATGCTTCCTTCCCTTTATCTTCTCTTCTAGACCAGAAAAAACTGAATGAGATTTAAATTTTGATTGAATTTAATTGTAAAAATCTGCTCTAAACTGAGAGTTTAGAATTATTTTATATTTAATAAATGGGGTTACTGAATGTCGTTAAGTATGAATATTCTGTATATCCACATGCAGAAGAATGAAATTTGAACCTCATTTCACACTATGTAAAAAAGTCAACTTAAAATGGACTAAAGACTTAAGACTTAAGACCAGAAATTGTAAAACAACTAGAAAAAAACATAGAAGAAAATCTACACATCCAGATGTATAGTACTTTGAATTACTACTCCTGCAACCTGTCTGGTTTCTCTAGAAGTGCAGTGTCCAGTATGATACTCTCTAACCATAAATGTCTATAGAAATGTAAGTTAATTGAAAGTAAACACAATTTAAAGTTCAATCTTAGTCACACTAGCCACATTTTGAATGTTCAATAGCCACATGTGGCTAGTGGCTGTTGTGATGGAAATAACATTTCCATTACTGCAGAACATTCCAATGATAGTACTGCTCTGAAGACCAGGAATAGATGTCATTCTATACAAGAAGTTCGGGAAGTCTGGCACTGTCTCTCAGTTTACCCTAAGAATTTCTTGGTCTTGAAATGTTGATAACTATTTAAAACAAAACAATAACAAAAACAAACAAACAAAAAAACATGCTGTGAGGACCAAATAAAATTCTGTTGTAATAGGAGTCAGTCCTGGCTTCAGTATGAAAGCTGTGAACTAGATTTTTCTTTTCTTTTTTTTTTTCCTGTAGCTACTACCCTGGGATGGGAGGGTACATTATTTAGGGATACTTCTAAATCTGCAATTTCCTTACTCAGCAACTTATGCCAAGTAGTACTATAAATACAGCCAGCTGTTGAGAAGTAATTAATAGTAAGCCTTTGAATTTCTGAGGGATCATTAGTCCTATTCATTTTGACCAATCAAGACCTTGCAGTGTCTCAAATGCATATGGAGATAAAAATCTCCACAGATATATCTCTCAAAATACTTTTCTGCGATTTTGCATTCTACAGATTATTCCTCAACATTTTTCATTTGTTTTATGGCCAGCTTACAGTGATGTAAAAAGCTTCGTGCCATGGTACTTCAGCCCTGCAATGCATTTTCGTGCAGTTCAAGAGCATTTAGAGACTCCTTTCATGTACTCTGGTAGGGAAAATCATGTTCAGATTT